TGGATAAACCGTGCTAGCACAACATTGACCACCGGATCGTAAAGTGTGCCACAATTTTGGGAGTACGAGTTTATTAATATTTACTACAAGATGCCAATCATCAATTTTCGTTGTAGCTATGAGCATTGATTCCCACACAACTGATAAAATTACAGGTTCAGATTCATCAAGACTATTCATGATAGTGGTCACTGTCCTTTTTTTTTCATTTTCTAATAATTTTTCTGCGTTTTCCATTATTGATGTCAATACATTGAAAAAAGCTGTTTTTATTGGCAAAGTATCGTGTTTAGCCAGTTTCCAAAATCTTGAACTGCTTAAAATTTTATTGTGAATCTCCAAGGTTTTATCGATTTCGTCAAGAGGCACTTTTTTGAAGTAACAATTATATCCTTGGAGATTTGCTATCAGTACTCTTTCATATTTAGCTTCCATTTCTTCGTTAGTAAGAGACTTCTGTATCGATAACGTTTGAGCCGTGTGTACAATTATATTGTTGCTAATATATAATAAAATTTCGCACTGACAATGAATAATCGCATTAACTATTTTCCAAGGTGGAAATGTGCTGTTGAAAGAGTTGGTAGCAGCTGATGCCGCAGGAGGATATGTATCATATTGAGAAGTAAACCAAGCACCAGCCAATTGTTTCAGATACATTGCAATACCTTTGCCTACACGCTTGACAAGAGCTGCATGTGCCAACTGTGCAGCTTCTCTCACTCTGTGATCTATATCAATGGACAGAGCACAATAAAATCTTGGCCAAAACGGTAGCATACCTTCTACCGCTGACAATTCTGCATCTTGACATAGAGTTGCAAATTCTTGTAATGCCTGCACATACATACATTAGTTTACAAAATCTGTAAATGAATCAACAACTAAACAATTAATTATCTACCTTAAACTTTGTCGTAGCATCTTTCTTACTCATCTTTTTTAATATAACTTGAAAATTAGAATCTATATTGTTCATCTCAATCTCGTTTAGGGAACATAAGGATAATCCAGGTAGAACAGGAACATATCCTCCGTCCTTAACTGCCGAGAACCCAACAAAATTAGGCATTGCGGTCCCCAAAAGTTCTGCACTGCGACTACTATTTGATGGCTAAAAAAATATTAAAAAATTGTACAATTAAATATTCAAAAAATACCATTAAGAGTACAAAATAATATGGATTATCATATTTACAAGGAGAGGACACAGTGCATTCGTTATGGATTTTGATCTCCTTTAATATATTTTGAATAAGTCTTCTAAATATATAGTTTTTATATATGAATATATAAAATATATTACTATATTAGTATATAACTATAATAGTTTTTAACGTATGAAAGGTCTAGTTATACAGAAAATTTAATCCCGGTGAAATGAATTAATTTTCATAACTTATTTCACATATGATTATTATTATGAACAAAAGATGTCACGGCCACAAGGCTTAATAATAATTTAATAAACAGTTTTTAATCTATGGCATATCAAAGATCTGTGCTTGAGTTTTATACTTTTACACTTTCAATACACGATGGCTCAAAAACTATCCATTATTGAGCTATTATTGAATCATTTAACAAAATCCTTGGACATCGCATAATTTATTTTTAATGTAGATTCATCACGTTGAAGGAAATCAAAATTCGTGATGAATCCATTGTGTTCTCTCTTTGTTAATAAAATATTAGCAATTTATAGATTTGAATATTGCGGAATATTGTATTAGACTGATATTACCTGAGTCTGTATTAAGCTAATATTCTGGTAAATTCCAGCAAAAATCAAATAGAAACCAAAGAGATTGTTATTTCATAATCATTTAAAAGAATGTATTTATAGAATGTATTTAAACAGAATGTATTTAAATAGTTATGAAATAGTAAATTCTACTCAGTTTCTACAGATATCATTCTAACAGATTTTATTATTACATTTCTGTACTTTGTAGACACATAAAATTTCTAGCAGACATTTCGTAAAATCTATTTTTGACTTGTAACAAGTAAAATATCTGTTCGTGTAATATGTAATATGATAAGTATTGCTGGGTGACGACATATGTTACAGATTTGTTAATAGATTTGTTCTTTGTAGCTGAATCTTTTATACATTTTTATTTTCTCCTCTAACATTGATATCATATCTATTTCATTTTAAGTGAGGCAAAACACAGAATGCAACTACAAGAAATAAATCCAATAAACGTGATAGGTTATATTATAAAATTATTATTGCACGCGTAATTTATAATCAAGTGATTACGTATAATTGGTATTTACCCGAGCATTGTTTTTAGTACGTTGCGCCTGCTTATTTTTACCCATAGTGATACTCTTAGGATGAGATAAAAACGTTTAACGATTAACGAAAATTTCGAGCTTCCTCCCTGCTGAACGTGACGTTCATGTCAGCTAACATAACCTTAAATGTGTATCCATAATCCATCCATTCCGGGTTCGATCTCAGGCACTCCGCATATCGCGATTTTTTCGCGCTGTTTTATTAACAAAATTTAATTGTGTCGTATTGTTGAAAGGCTCAAGACTGTTGTGAAAAAGTTGAAAGGCCTAAGGCTATTGTGAATTGTACGAGGAATTTAGAATTGTTATATAATAAGAAAAAAGTGATTCTGTTTACAAGTTTGATTGACAGTATTATGAATTTGATACAGTGCTTTGCGTCATATTATCCAAAAGATAGGGCAGAAGGCGTTTAATTTCCCTCACCCGAGAAAAAATTTATAAAATAAATCTATAGGCGTGTGAATTGGCCGTACAGAACATAAAGATTTGCCGGTACAAAACGCTGGAAACAGACTATAAATCCTTTGATAGAAATCTACAATTGCGGCCAAATGAGCGTCAGCGCCAAAACTGAGCAAAGACTATTATTGTCTTATTGCTCCTTCACCTGTATCTATCTTTCTGGAATCCTGACGCTGGTGAATTTTAATGACAATTTGTACAATGTCGGCAAGTACAAATTTCTACCCGTACTGATGATATTAACATTCGCCGAGGTGATAAAACTGCTGTTTCCTATGCTGCAAGCAGAGGCACCTACTATAATCAAGATCGAACAACGAGCTTATCCGAAGACCAAGACATTTTGGGCGAAGAATCTGAGAGATATCATCAAGTTCTTATTCAATGCTTTTTGTCTGTCGATATTTTACTACTTAACAATCGTGCTGTTTGGTGCACCTATTTTAACTGATCACGAAGAGACAACAATGCTAGTCATTACCCTGATCACACTGACTTATGTATCCACTAGTTTGCACCTGGGACAGGATCATACGGTGGATATCTTGACAGGGGTTTATTCCCTGAAGAGCACTATCCTCTCGAACGCTTTAAAACTTAACATACAGATGACAATATTAGGCACTTGGCTAGGTGCTATTGTTATCCCTTTAGACTGGGATCGCCCTTGGCAAGCTTGGCCGATTCCTTGTGTTATAGGTGCATTACTTGGCTATTTGATCGGCCACTTCATCACCCTCATCAAGATGCTTCCCTCACTGAAATTATATTATAGGAAAGTCCATCGATAATTGGATTTATTTGTGAGAAGAAAGATATTCCAATTTCTCAAATAATAAAAAATCATTTTATTAAATAAACGGTATGCTGATTGTCATGTTGATGACTGCTGTATATACTAGGCCATATAAAAGTAGTTTAGCATATTAATATAAGTTTAGCATATCAATATGTTCATCCTGATTTATATAAATTTATTATATTATCTGTGATGTAGATATATATGTATGAGTTGAGATAATAATCCAATAATCGTGCGAGAGAATCATTTTTTATAAAAATTATAATAATATTTATAATAATATTTATAATTCTATAAATTCTACTTTGAGTGATTTATTTTACTACTCATTCATATTTTACTTGATATAGCAATTTCCTGGCATCTCATCTTTCACTTGTACATCCTTTTCTCTTACATTCTTTATAATCGACCAACTTGTCACAATTTAATCTTATATATATAATATAAAATTATCTAAAAAAAATTATAAGTGTCAAAAGTTTGCAGCAAACAAAAAGTTGGGTGAATTATGCCCGCTTTCATCAATGATAGTTTAGTTTTCTAACAATAAGAATTAGAAAAAGATGAAAAATAAATTAAACCAAAATTAAATTTAACATTGATAAAATCAATATTAAATTTAATTACATTTAAGCATTATAGTCATTAAAGACATTATCAAAGTCATCCTTAATATTGAAATTTAAATATATAAATTTTGCAAGTAATGATAATTAAGAAAAAGTAAATTGCATCAGTACACATTATCAAACATTGATAATTTACTTATGTAACGATATATACTTTCTTACGTCAGATTAGGCCTTTCACCCTTTATATCTGATCTGCAAAAACAAGAATAAAGTACAAATGCAAATGCTTATATTTCGTACTTAAAAGCTAATTAAATGATCTATAATTCGTTAGATTCAGAACAGTATTTTGTTCATAATAATTTTATATGCATGTTATACAAAAAATGACTGAAGAATTAAAATATATAAAAAATGTGTATTAAAAATATATGTAGATATATTTAACAAAATACATTGCATCATAGATAAGAAATAAAAACACGTCAAATTTCTATAATTCGTTTATCTCGATCTAATGATTTATTTTCAATATTTTAATAATCAACTTTATATCTGTTATTAAAAGAAAAATTAATAAGTCTGAAGTGAATATGATGGTAGAAATTTAAGTGAAATTCCAATGGAGGAGGGGGATACTTTCGTTCCAATTAATCGCTTAAAATTTGACATAACAGAGATTTAGTATTTTTCGTATCATGAGAAGTAACTTAATCAAAAAAATGCTTGAATTAAATTTAACGCAATCAGAGAAAAAAATTCGTGAATGACTTCTCTTGTCGTCTGCTGCAATCTGACCAACTAATGAATGGGGGGATTTTTCATACTCGCGCAGTCGCAATTGTCTCCGCCAGAACGAATTGATACAAAGCTGACATTGAGGTTCCTCGTTACGAACAGTTAAAATTCATTTCCTCATTTGTCGGATCGGCTGCGGATTAATTCCAACAAGACGCTAGACAGTGCCTGACTACTTCAGAAGGATAATGTCGGATACAGCTGGAAAGGTATATCGATTACCATTTGTTTCTGCGAATTTACACGTTCTAAACTCGTTCATTTTTCTTCTTTTTCTACGTCATTAATTATTATTGGCCGACTCCTCCACTGATCGTCATTTAATATGTTATCTGTTTTCTTTTATTGAAATATTTTGTTACATCACAATAATATTCCTGTTAGAAATATATTGTATAAATAAGAATTATCTTCTGTCGAAATTCGAATAGAGGTGTTACATAAGTGTAAATTATTTTCTTGACTTGTTATCTTTGAAAATGGATTAAAGCTTACGAGATTTAGCTCGAAAGCATGTTTTTAGGTTCGGCTCGAGCCTCTCGAGGTTCAGTTCGGCAATAAAGGTGGATACATGCTCAGCTCGCGATGAGGTTGGCTCGATAAATTAGACACATCTTTTTGCAATTGAAATTTCTGCATAGATAGATGTTCATGATTATTAGTAAACATGATTTCTTTTCACTTAATTGATTAAACATGAAAATGAACAAATTTTCTTTGAAAGAATTGGTTATTATTTTTCTGATAATTACTTGTTTACTTGATGTGTCAGTAAATTTGAAAAAAAGATAATAAAACAAACATATAAGATAATGTTTGTAAAATTAATAAAAACTATCATTATTATATATATATTATATATAATTAATATATGTATATTAAATAATTTCTTAAATAAATTCTATCGAATAACTATGTATTTTTTGATATTTTTGATATTTAATTAGGTTATCAAATGCAAAGCTGCAGTAGCATGGAAGCAAAAGGAGCCTTTATCCTTGGAAGAAATCGAGGTAGCATCGCCTAAAACGCATGAAGTCCGAATCAAAATAGTAGCTGTGGCACTTTGTCATACAGATGCTTATACTTTAGATGGATTGGATCCAGAAGGAGTATTTCCTTGTATACTTGGTCATGAAGGCAGTGGTATCGTAGAAAGTGTCGGAGAGGGTGTCACCGAGTTTCAGCCTGGTAGGCTGATCAGATTATATTTATAAAGATTCTTTTGAATTATGTAGTTAAATTTCAATAATGTTTTTTAGCTGATTTATATCATATTTTGTTAATCTATTATTGTTTACATGAATGCTTGTAGGTGATCATGTTGTACCACTTTACATTCCTCAATGTGGAGATTGTAAGTTCTGTAAATCACCGAAAACAAATTTATGCAGCAAAATCCGTGAAACTCAGGGTAAGGGTTTAATGCCCGATGGTACGTCTCGTTTTACATGCAAGGGACAAACACTCGCACACTTTATGGGTTGCTCCACCTTCTCTGAATATACAGTTGTAGCTGATATTTCTCTCACAAAGGTATTTCTATATTTTTATAATCACTAGAGTTTAATAATTTATAACTTTTATATAATTATTATAAATTGTTGTTATAGATTAATCCTAAAGCACCATTGGACAAGGTATGTTTGTTGGGTTGTGGAATATCTACAGGTTATGGTGCAGCTTTAAATACTGCCAAAGTAGAACCAGGAAGCACTTGTGCTGTATGGGGTTTAGGAGCTGTTGGTCTTGCAGCAATCTTCGGTTGCAAGAAATCTGGTGCATCTCGTATTATTGGGATAGATGTCAATCCGGCCAAATTTGAGCAAGGTAAATTATGTAATTAGATTGTGTGCGACACAAAATTAATTTTTTATAGAAATAAACAATGAAAAAACTTTTCTTCGTAGTTTTTCTTATAATTATTGTGATAAAATTTCATAAATATTTTTATACTTATTTATAGCTAAAACTTTTGGCTGCACAGAATTTGTTAATCCCAAGGATTATGATAAACCCATTCAGCAGGTATTAATTGAAATGACTGATGGTGGATTAGATTATACTTTCGAATGCGTTGGAAATGTAAATACTATGGTATGTGTTTTTTTTTTTTTATTTTGTTTACGGAAAAAGAATTTTGTCTTATAAAGATTATTTTTCAGAGAGCTGCATTAGAATCCTGTCACAAAGGATGGGGTACATCAGTAATAATAGGAGTAGCCGCAGCTGGTCAAGAAATCAGTACTAGACCATTCCAGTTAGTCACAGGACGAGTATGGAAAGGGACCGCATTTGGTGGATGGAAATCAAAGCAAAGCGTGCCGAAATTGGTGGAGCAGTATCTGTCAAAAGAATTGATTCTCGATGAATTTATTACACATAATCTTCCATTTGAAAAAATCAATGAAGGTTTTAATATATTACATTCAGGAAACTGGTAAGCCTAGGAAAATTTTATTGTGAATAACATGAATGTGTTGACTAAAAAATGCACAAAATTATATATGATGAATTATATATTATGTATTATGATTATCAGAATTTTGTAAAAATGATGTGTTTCTGTTGCAGTTTGAGAGCCGTTCTTAAATACTAAAAACGTTTTTTATCTTGTACTGCAAAAATATGGCCTACTGAGAACCAGTGTCTTCTACAATTTATTAAAAAGTGCTTTATAAGATGCCCATATAAATATCATACTACCCCATTTGTTACAAATTTGTATTGAATCTCTGGAAATGAAAGATGGTAAATAAACTTTATATTTACTATATCATGCTCTCAACAAGAACATCTCCCCGATTTCTACAACAATCTTTATTCATAAAGAATTCTTACAGCCACATGTACAATATCGATTAAGTAAGATATTTACGGTAGCTCTTGAATGAAGTAAAAATTCTTTACGCTTTGATCAAGTGCATACCTTACAAAAATCATCATGGTACGAAGATCACTGACGATGATTTTCATTGTATATAATCATATGTATATACAATATGCAAGACTCGATAAAACTATTTTACGTTCGCTTGTAGTTATATTAATTAGTCTAGGTCGACAGTACAATAAGTCAGGCGGAATGCAAATTGCGCTCGATGCAGGAAGGAATATGCGTTAGCTCATTGCGGACGATGTCGTTTATCAATTAAATATGTAGATATATTTTTTAAAGTGTCACCTACATACTTTAATGCGCAAGTTTAACACGCCATGTCCATTAAGGCAAGACATTATGGATGAATTGACAAAATATGATATTAAGTTATTCTTTGAATAAAAATAAAATGTAAAAATGCACAATTTGTTATAAAACTTGATATAATTGATGAAATCACAAAGATTGCCGTGCAATCACGAGCCATCGAAATAAAACGCATTGATAGAAAAAAAAAAGATAAAATGTACATTCTGTTTGACGTGTTTAAAAATCTCAGTACATACAGTGTTGTCTTTGATCAATATACACAAGTATTATTTTCCCTGAATACTTCGTAGAAGGAATGCATGTCGAAGTGTGTGAAACGCGTTAGGCTTGCAAAATGAATCACTTTCATTCTAAATGAGACACGTGTAGTTTTTGCATCGACTATTTCTACGTAAATTGCCTTCTAACGCTAAGGGCATATTCACATAGTCACACTGATCTTTTTTTTTCTTTTTTCTACGGATTACATGTTACTCTAATATCTACGGTGTACCACACACTCTTTAAGTAAAAGTTGTAAGTAAAAATGCTTATAATTACAGTAAATGCAGACGAATCACGACGTCGAACATTTTCTAGCTTCGTAGAAAATAACTCAGCATTGCACGATGAATATCGTTCCGATTGCGGACGTAAAGAATCCTAATGCTTTGCGCGAATTGAATCGCGCAATGTATAATAGAGACATAATAATATTTCACGTTATTTTCTAAGCGATCTCCCACTTTTCTTAACAATCAGCTCGACGTCCTATGATTGAACTGCGTAGTATGAAATAGGACATTAACGAGTACGAAATAGGTCGTTTATTCTGTATGTCTTATACTAATTTTTATAACGTAAAATGGCTGAGAGAAAGAAGAATAACTTAAAGAACTCTAAGCTTGCCCGAGAGGAGAATATAATAAATAAGCGGAATAACGGTGAGATTTTCTATACCGCATTCGGCGAAACACAGCCGAAAGTGAAGGAGTAAGAGCTACGAAAACCTATTTGCTTCAAGTGATTCAACTAAGTTTCAACGTGTGCAAGTGTGACAGTAGCAGAATGACTTCACACATCCGCCCGCCTCTTCTCTCCGCTCTTGTATCTTTTTCTCAACCAGTTTGATTTTGTTCGGTTGATGCATTGTTATCATGTAACTCGTATTATTCATAATTAACATTATATTTCAATATTATAATTGTTAATCTAGCAATTAGAAATCATACGCTTATAGGGTTTTTCACTTATAGTTTTCCGTTAAATGCAATTTGTGTCACGATGAGTGACTTCTGGTCAATACGATGAAATTATCTCGTCCTATTCGGCCTTTCTTCCTTATTTCATGAATACTTTTCTTTTTCGTTTTGTGTATGCATAAATGATACGTAATTATATTATTTATACTTTTAATTGTGCGTGGAGATACCTCGACAGGCACGGAGGTAATCCAACGATTGGTGTTCTGCGCGGCTCGCAGCGGAATTTTCTCCCCTTCTCACTCCGTCACCAGCAATTCTCACACACGTACATACACTTTCGGCCATATCTGCGTACTCTCTACACGAACTCTATTGAATATTGCACGGTATTATGATTACACGGGATCTACGATTGCGTAGAATGGGGCTGTAGACGCCGCTTACCGCTGAACATACGCGATTATTGCACGACATGGCAAGACACTCGCTACTTTAAATGTCGATCGGAGCTTCCTAACTGGGACGAAGGACGCGACTAAGGTCGTTACGATGATTCGATAACGATCTTTTCCGGTTCCATGCAGCGCGATTCGTTACGAATCCGACCTCCTCATAACTAATGATCGTCGTGCTTATTCGTTGCTCTCGGAACTCATTTAGGCTCACGTTTCGTTTCGTCGCGCGTGGACCTCGATAGGTTCGACAGGTTCGACAGGCGGCCCGACGATGACATAGAACACCTCTGATCACAACTCGGCGATATTCCTAAAGCTGGCGAACGCGCGCACCTTCCCTTACTTTTCTCCGTACAGTCGGTTTCTCTGCTCTTAAAGATGCTCGGTTAAAGATGCTGCGCTTCCGTTGCTAGTCGCCGCTTTTATATATGTCTAGAAATCTAGAGGTTGATCGGCTGAGCCTTCGAGATCCTGAGAGGAATCGGTACCGCCATCTTCGTCATCATCAAGGTCTACACTGTTGGTTTTGAGCCCACCGCTGCTGATCTTATTCACAATCGCGTCTGTAAAGCAGTTTAAAAGTTAATTTAAGAATCTGATCGTGTACTTCGCAAGAAGAATATGTGATACTGGGCCTGTTCTTTTTACTGAATTCCTTGTACGATTCATCTTTTCTCTTTTTCTCTCCAAAGTGAAAAGAAAAGGAAGAAAAATGCAATCACTTTAGCTGAAAAAAGAACAGACCTACTATTTACACATTTAATTATCTAATGTCCTCCTAATTCTATTACTAGAAATAACATCGAAAATAGTGATGGTATTGCTTATCAAAAACTAATATAATTGTTTTAGCAAAATAAGTAGAGAACTAATTTTTAAACTGCGATTCATTTTCACTAATTACAGTTTAAAAATGAAAAAATCTTATTTTTTATTTAAATTTAAGATAAGATTTATTTCAAAAATTTTAAATTTAATCATGTGTTATTAAGATATTCAATTTTGAAAATTGTAGAAAAATAGGTCCAATCTAAATCTCAATACAAAAAAAGAAATTACTTTAAGTTCAAGATATTTTTATTATCTATTTTCATGTTGATCTAGAGTTGTCGGACATCACATTTAAATCTAAATACACGACGAAATATTAAATCTGCATATGATTCGAATAAAGACCTGTTACTAATTTCCTCGTAATTTTACACATGCTGAAATTATTTATTATTTTACTATTATATATCACTAATTCCACTGCTTTAAATATTTATTTAATTTTATTATATAATTTTAAATATTTATTATCCAAGCGATATAAAACATACCGCAGTCAGGCTTTGCACCGCGCGTTCTGGTACCAGCAAACTCGACGCCATGCGGATCGACGCACCAACAGAGACCAAGACCCCGATGACACTGAGTACTGCGGTAATATCCTCGTGAATCGCAAGCAGGTGCAGAATCCGGTGATGATCGTCTACGCACAGCGGCACACGGACGTTCAGCTTTAGAGAAGCATCCGCACCATTCAGGACCGCTCACAAAAATGTCGCTGAAAATATAATGCCGAAAATATAGCTTTATGTATGTCTCTCATTTTCTTCGATCTATCGATTTTTAAAAGTTTTATTTTACGAGCTGTCAAGTGGCTTGCTGCTCAGTGCGATTAACTCGCGATCTGTAGATCTGAGTTCAATCATCTTACTTGCGTCTACATACGCGATTATTCGCGTTTAAGGAGCCGAAAATTATTTTACCTAATTAAAGGCCATGATACACAAAAAAACTTAAGCAGTAAAACGTAAATTAAAAAGCAGTAAATTAAAGTAAATTAAGCAGTAAAAAAAATTAAAGCAGTAAATAGTAAGCGAATTAGTCAATTACAATAGAAATCATAAGATCATAACATAAAGCAATAACCATTCCAACATGTTGATTTCCTTACAGTTTACGTCTTAAGGACATCAACATGTTGGATTGGCTATTGCTTTATGTTATGGTCTTACGATCTCTATTGTAATTGACTAATTGCGTTTGAATAATTACGTTTTACTGCTTAAGTTTTTTTGTGTAACTCTAAAACACCTTTGATCACCAACGCCATTCGGATTCGTTGTTAAACTGTAGATCTCATATATCAATATAGATATACGCATCGGATGAATCTTAAGATACACGATTTAGCGCTTAGATTATTATTGCATTAAATATATAATGTTTAATATTATATAACATTGATACAGAACAGCAATCATCACATAAGTAAAAACAATACATGTAAAATTTTTATAATACGAAATTTTGAGAATAATATGAATATAACAAATTAGCGTTATTAAAAATGTGCAGAATAATGAGATATAATATATAGAGAATGTATAAAATGTTACGCAATAGTAATAAAATACAAAATAATGAAGAATTTTTGATACATGCATTTAAAAAATTATATCTATTTCAGTAGTTAATAAACGCATGGGTTCAGACACAGTAGTAACATCACACGTTTGTCAGACCAAGTTTTTGTGTCTCTATATTGACAGACACTTTATTTATTGTATTTCAAATCCGTTATATTTCCATGTGTTTTATCATCTTTCTAAAAATATCATCAATCCAATTAGATTTATAAATTTTTATTTTCTATTTCTCTAAATTGAGGAAAACTTTATAATTTCAATTATAACCCTTATCATTTTAAAAGATTTGAAAGAATACATTCAGAGATATATAGACTGTATATCTCTGAACGCGTATTTTGAACTTATTGATCGATTTCACCCGCTGTTCGTCCATTATTGAGATAAGAACACAATAGAAATGCCAAGTGTAAGTCTTAGATGTATTTACGATCGTGAAAAGTCTCTTCTCACATGCGGGACAAGATGACTCTTACCTGTCGGTATCACAACTATCCAAGAAAGGTT